GGTCCATGAGAGAAAAACAGCTGCCCGAAAGCTTTGGGAAGCAGCAGAAAGAGCCTCCTGTTGGCTCTGGCATAAGAGAGAGGACACTAGCTGGAAGCCTGGAGGAGAGGGGCAGTGACTTGGCCACCACTGCCGACCCGCCAACTGGAGAGTGTTGTGGTCGGGGTTGAAACACTCGATGAAGGTTGGACATGACCTGATGACCTCTCCCCCTGGCTGTATACATCCATTTGAAATGGATGTAATAAGGCATCTCTGATATAATGAAACCAGACTGAACATTGGAAAGAGATTCATTATTGGAATCAGCCTTGAAAACAAAGTCAAGAATCAACTGTCAAGCAAAACTTTTAAACCAACATAGATGAAAGGTCCTGAAAGATTTAGAATAATTTAAATATGAATATATATTCTTCCATGACAGCTGAACAGACTTAATTTACTGAAGATACAGTCAAAGACTCAAGAACTAGTTAATAAATGGACCTTTATTATTTTAGTAAATGCTTTAACATGACCAACAGCAGATATGATGTAAGTTAATTACATAAAAAAGTGCCTGAAAGTTATTTTCTTGCTTTACTGGATTGATTGGAAACCACTAGCTACCTGGGGGGAAGAACAGAAAAACAAAAATTCAACAAATACTCAAAATTAAATGTTAAAATATGTCCTCATGTCCGCTTTCTGATCTGACACCCCAAATCATTTTTGTATGCTTTTAATTGCCTATCATTCTTCTTGAGAGCATAGTCTCAAAAATCTTTCTGGCAAAAAATACAAATGTCCAGACATCAGGAAAATCACACAGATTCATGTTTCATTCATGTTCAGTGCACTGAAAAGAATATCATGTCAAATCAAGTTAGACTATCGCATATTTAGGTGGAATTTTCTTTTTTCTGTGGAAAAGTATCCGCACTCACACAACATTACATGGTGTCACATAGAGATACAGTATTTCAAGGACAACATTGTTACTCAATGTAAAATAGAGAGGAACATTGTTGGCCACCAGGTGTGTATGCATAGATCCCCTGAATAGTTTCTAATAGTTAAACATGCAAAGTTGTACCAGTTCAGGCCATGTGGGCACCAGGCACAGCAGTGCTTTGAGCTAAATGCTATTGTCAGCATGCTAACATGCTCTCAAATAAAATGCTAACATACTTATGTTAAGCAGGTATAATGTATGGCAGTTCACCATCATAGTTTAGCACGCTAACATTCGCAAAGGCCAACAGGAATAGTTTTGCAAGCATTTGGTCACCAAAATACGGATGAATGAAAAACTTGACCTGATGACGGCACTAGATGAAAGGTGAAGATGAAAGAAAGAATATGAACAGTTATTAGAATACATCATCTAGGTTGCAAGACACGCACCAAGCACTTTATTAGGAACACCATACTAATCCTTTTCAGGGCTTGTGCCTTTCCTCTCAAAACAGCCTCAGTTCATTTGATGTTGCAAATGTTCCTTTGAGATTCTGCTCCATGTTTACGTGCATCACATAATTTCTGCAGATTTGTCAGCTGCACATTCATACTGCAAATCTCCCATTTTAACCTATCCCATTGGTGTTTTAATGGATTCAGATATTGTCACTTGGGAGGCCACTGAAGTTCACTGAATTCACTGTCATGTTCATGAAACCAACTTGAGATGACTTTTGCCTTTGTGAGATAGTGATTATCCTGCTGGAAGTATCTTTTAGCAGATGGCAAAATTTTGGCCATAAAGGGATGAACATGATCAGCAACAATACTCAGATAGGCTGTACCATTCCAATGATGCTATTAAGGGGTCCAAAGTGTGCCAAGAAAACATTCCCCACACCATTACTGCCATCTGTCATCTACCATCTTACATCTGCCATCTGCTGCCTCAGCCGAAATCGAAATAAATTAGACCACACTATGTTTTTCCAGTTTTCATCTGTCCAGTGGTGCTTCAGATTTTTGTTCTTGACTGTCAGGAGTGGAACCCAGTGATGTCTTCTGTTGTGTTGTAGACCATCTGCCTCAAGGCTCGAAGTGTTTTCTGAGATGCCTTTCTGCTCACCACAGTTGTAAAGAGTTGTTATCTGAGTTACCGTAGCCTTCTCTCAGTTACAATGAGTAAACATTAGAGACTGTTGCCGTGAAAATCCCAAGATGAGAAGTTTTAGAAATACTCAAACCAGCCCGTCTGGCCATAACAATCATGCCAACGTCACTGCATTCTGATGTTTGATGTGAACATTGACTGAAGCTTTGCACTGCTGCCACATGAATAGCTGATTAGTTTGTGGGAGCCACAAATATAAGATTCTTGTATATAAGTAATTGGTTTGCATGTGCACACGGTAGTACAGTGGTTAGCGCTGTCGCCTCACAGCAAGAAGGTTCCGGGTTCGAGTCCCGGCTCGGACGCGGGGTCTTTCTGTGTGGAGTTTGCATGTTCTCCCCGTGCTTGTGTGGGTTCTCTCCGGGTACTCCGGCTTCCTGGATGGATGGATGGATGGATGTTCACCTCATTGTAGCTTCTGATGATCACGGTGTGGGGTGAGCTCAGGAGTGAAATTTTCTGTTAACCATGTTTTGGATTGAGATGCATTGTGCTTTGTCTTTTCCTGCTACCTGATATGTACACTCAGAAAAGCATGCCTGTTCATCAATGTGAAGAGAACAGAGATTGATGCAGGGGTGGAACCAATGTTCCCAAGCCCCAAGAGCTATATGAAATAGTTTGAAGCCCGGATGGTGGTCCATATGCAGGCAAACCTATACTATGTTGGACTGTGAATATCTCTCAGAGGAGACTGCAATAGTGACACTGCTTGTGTACAGCCTGATGTCACCATTAATATGATTTCTATAATTGAACTGTGGGAGCAGCAGTTGAAGGCTGATTTCATTAAATGCACTAAAATGAGCATCTTGGTTTGTCAAGGGAAGAACATCACTTTAAGTCACAGTTTCAGCTAAGTTGGTTGATGAGCACTGCACTGATTTACCTCTAAGAAAAGTAATGTGAAAATGCTGAACAATATAAGAAAGTTGCACAACAGCATCCTTTAATCTCAAAAGGAGGTTCAATAAAGACAGTTTGAGCCATGCTGACTACACTGACTTTATGTGCGATATCTCCAATAGCAATGCTGAGATGGTGCCAACTGAGGATCTGGATTGCTGGTAGGGTATGGTATATACAATACCATAGGGTATACCTATAACAAAAGAGGAAGTTGAGGGTAATTTTTTACTGTGCAGCTATATTCCAAGGAACATTGCTAAATGCCCAGCTCCTACATGGCCAGGATCTGACTAGCTCACTGGTTGGAGTCATAACCAGGTTCAGGAAGGAGTCTGTTGTAGTCATGGTGGACAATGAAGCTATGTTCCATCAGGTCAGAGTACCAAGTATGGATTTGGACCTGCTAAGGTTTCTTTGGTGGCTTGATGGAGACCATAGTCAGGATATTCTATACTTCTATTCTTCCAAGCCCCTAGTAGTGTTTCAAAGGGATGACATATATTCTTGTGATCGATGGAAACAAGTAAAATATATGTCCAAGTTGTATTGGAAGGGATGAGTCAAGGAGCACTTGCCTCACCTTCATGAGCACTGCGAGCACCAGAGGAAACTTCTTATAATCGTGGATGACTCTGCCCTTAGCAACACATGGCTGACTGGAAGAGTTGTGAAAGAAGTTCTTGATAAAACAGGATTCATACATCAGATTTGTATCAAGACAGGGACCAGCTACCTGCACAGGCCCATCACCAAGGTGTGCCATCTCCAAGAAGCATAAGAGCCATGAGGAACTGCATTTTTTTTTTTGCACTTTTTGGCCTTTTGGAGATATTGACATTTTGTATTGATATGGGCACTTTTAAACATAAATGGACTGACTTAAATTTAATCAGGTTTAAATGACCATTTAGGCACAGTAGTAGGGACTTTTGAGTCATAGGTACAGAATATTTGAATGTAATGTTACCATCTTGCTAATATTCCAAGTTTTTTTTCCTCCTACATATTATTGGTTGTGTTATTATTGCTTCGGAATAATTGGGGTCTGGAATGAAGGTCACATATATAAGTTTCTTGCATATTAACACACTGCAGTGGCACTTGGGTGGTGGGAGTGTCACTATGTTTGATTATTCCATGGTTATAAGTACTTGCACTCACCTGTTCAATAATAATAAATAAATAAATAATAAATAAGCAAGCAGGTGTAGAGGTATTCCTAATAAAGTGCTTGGTGAATGTTATGTACCAAATTTCATGGTATTTCTTCCAATAGTTATTGAGATTTCACTGGATAAGTGAAAACTTTGACCTGTGGGTCAGACCAATACTGCCATAAAGCCATGCCACTGGTATGAATCAGAAGTAATTGAACATAATCAAGTGTTTTGCAGAATTGTCCAATATTTATGTTTCGTCTTGAGAAAGAAATAAGTTCATATCCTTCTCTGAGACTGTAGAAAAGCATTATTACAAATAATGGCAATTACTAACTAATGTGGAAGTAGACAAGCAAGTATGAAGAAGACTTTATACCCCAGCATAAGTAACATATGACAAAACCTACTGCAAAAATTTATTGGACATTACAGATTGATAATGTATACCACTTTGAAAGTATGCAAGTGTGGTTATGTGTAAAAATGTAGAATATCTGCGTAAAAAGCACTGCATGAGCGGCAACAACCACAAATCTACCACTGATGTATTGAGACACTAAGATGAATAATTCCATGCCTTTACATTTACACCTCCCTCCACCCCACTTCTTCATCTGTTCTCATCCAGAATTTCCTCCATTCCCAGCCTGCTACACTGCATATCTCACTATTTTCCCCTGTGGCAGCTCTGCACCAAGGTGGAGGCTACAAAACGAGGCTGCCCACAAGGAGAACAGGCTTGTTCTCATCCCCATAACATTTGGACAGGGGAAGCAGTCTGAAACCCATTCTGTTTTCCTTTTTTCTATGTCCCTTTGCAGAGGTCCTTCTGCAGTGCCATGGTGGACGAGCTGCGTGTTTCCCTCAAGTGCCAGCGCCGGCTCAAACACAAGCCCCAGCCGACCGTCATGGTGAAAACAGAGGAAGTCATCAACATGCACACTTTCAACGATCGCAGACTGCCAGGGAAAGAGACCATGGCCTAAAATGTGAATCTCTATTACTTTCTCACCCTCTCTCCTGCAGTGAGGAGTTGTGCAGAGACACTAGAGAAGAGGGTGGGGTAAATGGTAAGGGGGGGCAGTGGGTATTGATGGTTGACAGTTGGGTTATTTTAAAGGTAGAGAAGAGGTGCTTGGTTGTATGTTGACGGAATGTCATTCTTGGTTCTTTATAATTAGCTAGGGATAAGAGATTCAACAATATTTCCTGTGGAAATACCTTGAACCTGGGTAAAATTTCAGTGAGTTACCTCATTACTCCTACCAGCTTGGCAAGGTGGCAAACTACACGTGCCAGGATTTTCAAAACCCAGGAGTCGTTGAGATAGTTAGATAGAAAAAATGTAATTGGGAAAGAAGTTGTCAATAAAAAGAAAAAAAAGGATTGGACGTATCATCTTCAGCTGCTGCTCAGTCTTTCAAGACACAGTTCAAAAGAGGCTGGGTGAGCAGCTCTCATCAAATTATGAGTGAATATAGAGATGCTAACTGGTGGAATGGGGAGAGTAGTAGTTGTAATTTGTGTAGGATTGTTTATTTTCAAAAGTTGTTAACAGAATGACTAAATTAACCCCACAGCCCTGAAGATGATGGCAGCTCCCAAAATGTACAGAGAGGCATTGCTTAGTCACATATTATATTGATCAACATCAAATATGGATAAAATGTATGTCATCCATCGGGAAATGAGTGATAACATTTATTTGTGTTTCAGAGTACTAACACTTTGTCTTTAATGTGTGTGTGTGTGTGTGTGGGGGGGGGATTTCAGATTAAAGATTATATGGTAAAATACAAGCGGAGAATGCAGGAGTAGGGGCAATGTAGTGAGCTGTTGATGTCCATGTATTAGCCAGTATTCACTTAAAGAGGATTCTGTGGAGGTACACACCCTTAATATCAATAAGGAAGAACCTTGGAATGGTGTGGGCACAGCTCACCAAGTCTAAATTCACAGCAATCACACAACACACAAACTATTTATTCTAAGTATTTATTGTTTTATTTATGAAACTCCTTATTTATATCTATATAGACTGGATTTTCACTACTGCAGTAAATACACCTCAACTCTGTATGGGTATACACCGTTTCTTTCCATTTGCTCAGTATCAAGTCTCCAATTTTATTTTGTACTCCTGTGGCTTTACTTTGTTTCTTTGGCAGCAAAGCCCCACATTTACTTGTGCAAATGCAATTTCTATGAAAAAGTGTTTTTGTACGAAGAGAATCAAATTTTGTAATGATTTTTATCAACACAAAATGCACCATGAGGAGTGTCATCCATGGCAGAGGTGGTACTCCACACCCGTATTTCAGGAGGCTTTCCTAGACACTAGACAAAGCTGACACACACCCAAGCACACACACACACCCATGAGTGCAGGGGGCACTCATTCTCCATGGAGCAGATTCATACCAATTAGTACTCTGTTCTCCAAGAGAGAGGCAGAACATTCTGGAAAAGCCTCAGTGACATAAAGTTGTTTTGGAGAAGAAGAAAAAAGAAACTATTTTTATCATGTAAAAGAATCATATTTAAAGAAAGATATTTTTACTTCACATGAAAGAAGAGTTAATACTGGTTAGAGCAACAATATAGTGTACACACACAGGAAGGGAGCAAGACTACGATGATGCTTATCATTCTACACCCCTGATTACGATAGACTGCTAGAATCCAGTGCTGAGCAATTGTGTGTAAATGGTTTTAAAAATGAAAAAGATGTATTTAAAAAAAATATAAGGACACTTAACTAATTTTGAACTTGAAAACTAAATAGAGTGCACACAGTTTACCCTTTGAAGTTGATGCACAAGTTTAAAGAAAATAAAAAAAGTATTCACAACTTTCCCCTCATCTGTGTCTTTATTGAATGAAAGTTTTCTGTTGTAGTAAGCCAAAAGAGCAGAGTAATTAGACTTTTATATAGTGTATACACTAAAAATACATAGCCAACAAAAATGCCCTTGTGGGCCACAATAATGATGGAATGGAAACTGGGCCTTATTCAAAACATTCTCAACATGCCCATACCAATAAGGTATAAAATATTTGCCCTCCAGCTTCACAGAAGGCTAGAAAAGGGGCCAATGTGAGCAGTCACCCTTAAGCTCCATGTGCCACTTTTTATTTTAGCTGACAGTACATGAACTATTGATTGGACTTAGATGGGAAACACATCCCTAAGGTCATGTGGGTCCCTCACAATTCAGTAATGGGCCCCATTTAGGGCCCCATTTAGATTACCCAGTGGATAGCGGCATGTCCAATTTGACAAGGGCATTTTTTATATCATGCACACCAATGGTAAACTGACACAGGTAAATTTAATTACTTTGGCTGGCAGCCAGAATATTTGGATGTGCAGGTCCTTTGACAGATCTGCCATAGCATCAACTACTATAATATATATACGTATATACTGTATATATATATATATATATATATATATATATATATATTCATGCCTCTGACATTCAAACAATTCTTGCCTCTGACATTCAAACAATTCTTGCATGGCCTTGACAATAAGGGTTATAAGTATTTGCCCTCTAGTGCAAATGTGTGATAAAGTGTGGCTGATATGAGCAATAATCCTCTGGCCCAATAGCCTGCATAATGTCTGTGAAATCTAAAAGATATGGAGCCTATAGGGCCTAAGTGGGCAACAAATGGGCCCCAAGTGTGATATCTGTTAGTTGAAAACAACCTTGTCATCCAAATAATTAATTTTTAAAAAAATGGGCCCATGTGGGTCTGAGGATGGCTTCTCATATTGTCCTACTTGTAGCCCTTTTAACAATTCACATGGGGTCTATGTGAGGGGTTTCTGCTCAAGAACCATTAGCCAGTATGTGGGACAGTAATTGGGTCAACAAACATGTCCCAAGTGGGACATCTTTTAGTGGTTTACAAATCTCAGTAAAAAAGCTTGTGGCCTGAGTCATTAATACAAATACCATGTGTACAGTAGCTGAGAGTGCTCAATGCACTACAACACCTGTGCTACAAATACTACCAACACAATCAAATACAGAAACACCCTGTGTGCACTGGTGACAATAGAAGTGTTTCCAGGGGACACAAAAAAGTGATGAACCTGGCTTGGACATGCAGTGGTGTTGGAATTCTTTTTTTCTATTTACTTATTTTAAAAGCATTGAACAAGAGCATCCCAAGTCAGGTTCATCACTTTTTCTGGAAACACATGTGTAGTCATCTGTGCCACTTGCAGTGTGTTGCTGTATTTGGTTGTGTTATGTGTATTTGCAGCATGTGTTGTCAAATTAAAGATGTTCTCTTAATTTGCTTTTGTTTTTTCTATTTGCATGTGTTTTCCTGGACCTTCAGATGATTGCTCATATGACATGGGTGTGGCATTTATTAAGGGCAGTGTGGTACACTCTTAGTTAAGTTTCATTTCATTCTTAATTTTGGAACATGATGCTGGAAAAAAATAATAGCTAGAATAATCTTTCAAAGCAAAAAGAAAGAAAATAAGTGATCATGTAGGTCATATGTCTGGGCCTATTTTATTGTTCCATACCTGGGCAATGTGACAACGCAAAAGTTACAGTGTAACCACTGCACTTGCACACAAAAATCTAAATGTAACTCATTGTCATTTAATAGTTGTACAGCATCTTTTCAGCACTGTGAGGTGGTTGCATCATTGGAAATTTGCCCATAAAAGCAAATTTCCAATGATGCAACCAATGATGCATGATGAGTTGCAATACTGCAATACTAAAGCAACGTTTACGTGTTTCCTTCTGTAAAACAGATAATAATGGGAAATAAATAATTCATGGAAAATAAATAAATATTGAAGATAAAAAAATACAGTAACATTGAAGTGCTTAAAAAAATGGTAAACTGAAGTTTAAAGTGAAATCAAAGAAGGCCACAATCACTTATTTCTTCATTCTTTTTGGGTTGTAAACAAAGACATTGTGAAGGACAGATCATGTTCAGCAATGAATGTGCACACACGTATTTTTTGATCGCAGACACCGTCAGTCATTGATGACTGAGTGTCAACCGTAACTGTTGCGCCTGGTAACGCAGTTGTATGTTGGAGTGCGCGGACAGAAACTTTATGACCGGGGTCCAATTCATGACAAGAGAGCACTTTTTTACTGCTGGTAGCAGATAGCAGCCTCCTTGAGCACACAGTGCAGAAACAAGCGCCTTGCTCCTTCAAGCCGCTGGATCCTACACTGCCAGTGTTGCCAAGACCCGCCCCGCTCTGCTTCTGATTGGCTACTAAAGTTGGTTAGGTTCAGTGTCTGGTTAGGTTGAAAGTGAGAGCTGCGTTCCTCTTATACCATTGGTAGGTGAACTTTATTACCTCGAACATGATAAACCGCATCCATAACAAATTCCCAAGGATAGTGACTTTAAATTTCCTCTGCACGTGTTTCCTGTGTACATGTGAGTACATATGCACTCACATGTAATGTGCAGCGGACAGGACTATATAAACAGACGCTTCCTGCCATCCGCGAGTCTCTCTCGGGGGCAGTTAGGCTGTTGTAACTTTTTCAAACTTTAAAACTGGTGAAAGTTGATTGATTGTGAAAGTGAGTGCCTTGTTCGTGTAGTGTTCCTGATTTATGCTGGTCCTGAGGACCTGGTCCTGATTTTTGAATGAGACATTCCTTGCTCCACCCCTCTCCCCTTCCCGCATCCACACACCACAGTGCTCATACGTTGCCTCAAGTCAGGGACGAAGCCAGTGAGCAAGGGTGGCTGCATGGGGGCCCATGGTAGCAACCAGACAAGGACAAGGAAACTACCCACATTTTTCTCTGAGTGATACGGGCCCACTAGCATAGTCCAGCGATCCTTGAGTGCTACAGGTGGTGGATTAATGAAAGTCTCAGTTCTGTCATTTCTGAGGGCAGCCCGCTTCACAAAGTATTCCCTGCCTCTTGCTTAAACCACAATTTAGGATTTGCTCTCGTTTGAAAGGGGGCACCAGCCCTCTAGGAGGACAACAATGAATTAATTGATTACTGTGATCAACC